CTGATGGCTTTTTTTTTTTAAAAAAAAAAAAAAAAAAAATCTAGGAACCAACAAAATCAAGTTCAAAGAAAATTATCAATTTGGGTTGGCAAATTGATAAAACATTTTTGTTTTTGTCAATGAAATGAATAAAAAAAATTAAGAGAAAATTAATTATTGCCATTTCACTCTATCTATACACCAAAAAAAAATCCTGATAATGATGATGATGGAAGCTATTTTTGTGTGTTTTTTAGCTAAAGAAAGCAAAAAAAACCTCGATCAAACAGCAACAATTCTGATTTGTAGCCAAAAAAAAAAAACACCACAGACAGACAGATGTTTTTTCATTCAATGTGTGTGTTATTTGTGTGATACATTCAATCAAAAAGAATAGAATATTCTCTGATTCTGTAACAACAACAACAATCATTATCATCAAAAAACAATCGACACATCTTTCATGTTTGTGTGTATGTTTGGAGAAAATAGATTTTCAAGCCAAAAAAATAAATAAAAAATTGGCCTCGAACTTGATAAAAGTTTGTTTTGTTTTGTTTGTATGAATATTCTTGAATTACTTACTTGAATTTGTATAAAGAAATAAATTATTAAGACCAGAACCGGAACCAGTAAAATTTGTTGGAAAATGTATTGCAGCAATACTTTCACGACGACGTCTATACATTTCAGATGTTGATGTACCACCAATACCACCACCACCACCACCAATCATATTTGTTGTTGATGATGATGGTGATGATCCATTATTATTACCACCACCACCAGCAGTATTTGACATTTGTCTAGCAAAATTTGCACGTGCACGAACACGTTGCATATGTGTTGATACATAATTAAGATCATCCATATTCCAAAGATGTTGATGTTGATTACCACCACCATGATGATGAAGATGATGACCACCACCACCACCACCAACACCACTATGATGTAATAAATTTCCCGATACACCTGATATTGGAGAAGATGTTGATGATGATGATGCTGTTGTTGTTGTACATGAATCAATAGTTGTTGTATGTGATCTTAAACGTAATAAATTTAAATTTGCTATATTGTTTGATGATGTTACCGGCGGTGTTGGTGGCGGTGGTTGTTCTGATTGTGATTGAGATTTTGATGATTTCAATAGGTTTGTTGGTTGTGTCGACATTGTATATTCGATATATGATGATCAGAAAGCCAACAGAGAAAGAAAAGAGTTACGATTTAAAAACAATAACGATAATGATGATTTAAAGAATCAATCGACCAATCGACAATAACATTGTTGTTGTTGTTGTTGATAATTCCATTATTCGATTGTAAAATACAATGATTTTGTCTTTTGTTTTTTTTTCTGCCAATCATCATCATCGAATATGAAATCTGTATATCTGTATAGAATCGATAATTTCTTCTTATTTTTGTTGTTGTTCAATTTGCCGAATCAATCAATGTCGAATTTTTCCAACAACAAAAAAAAAATGAGTAGCTGAAAATTTATTTTGTTTTCGAAATAAAATTATTACAAAACATCTTTTTGTTTCTGGTTGTTACAAAATCTTTGGCTATTGAGTGGAAATCTTTTTAAAAAAGCGACGAAATTTCTTTTCAAGTGGAAATCAAATCAAACGAAATTATTCCACTATTATTCCTGATTTGATTGTCCATTATTATTCAGGTTTTTTTTTGCTGGTTAATTGATTGAAATGTCATTATCGTCCATGTTGTTGTCATTCGCTTGATGATTACTGATTAAATGTCGAGGTTATCGCATCACAAACAAACAAACACACACAAAATTAACACTGCATTCATTCAACACAATATATATATAGACATCAAGAATCGGTTTTTTTTTGTTTTGTTTTGTTTTCGGTTCTTAATAAAAAAAGAAAGAAACTTTTACTCGCGAGCCAATTGTTGTTGTTGTCGATGTCGATGTCGCTATTGGTCTTCTTCTCTCCCCCCCGATTTCAGAAAAAAAAACATTCGAATCATCAATACGCATACTCTTTGGATTGATTTCCGAATTTTTTGACGTCAATATACAACGATGATAACGGGGATTCTTTTTCGAAACCAACGAAAAAAAAATGCGTTTTTCAAACATAAAATATATATAAATGTTTGAATTCCGCAATGACGATATATATAAAAACTGAAAAGCAGCAGCCACAATTTTCGCCCTTTTTGTTTTTGTTTAGCTCGAACACAGAATATATTGAGAATTTATACGACGACACTGCCATCTAGCGTCGTGTTTATCTATGATAAAATTTTTGAAAATTTTATGACCAAAAATATTTTTTCAAATGTTCATTTTATTCAATACAGAAGAATCAAGCACAATCAAGATTAAAGAAAATAAAATAAAATAAACTGTTTTAAATAAAATAAAAATTGATATAGAATAATAATAATTTGTTTTTGTAAATATATTTTGTAATTTGATAATTTGTAATTTGATAATTTGTAATTTATAATATGGTGTGTGTGTGTGTGTGGAAAACTACCAAGAATATTTCGTTTTTTAAGTATACAAAATTTGCTTTGGATTTTTTTCATATAATAATAAAAAAACCTTTGTTCAAACAGAATATTCTAATTTAAAGAAAAAAAAATAAATAAATAAAATGAACAGTGGATGCGCGTTTTTTGTGTGTGTGTTGTAAATTATGAGAATATTTTTTTTTAAAAAAAACACAAGTGATAATGACAATGATTTTAAAAATATAAAGATTTTTTTGTTTCTTTTCTTTAAAAACATAATTCTGGGAAAAAAAATAAGCAAAATTTTTCGTTTGTTTTGTTTACCGATGATTTTGATATATTGCCAAGTCTTTTTGTTTGAAAAATAGGTAAATCAAAAGAAAGAAGAAAAAATGTGACAAACATTCAAGCACAAAACACACAAACACACAAAGAGAGATGCACACAGATGATAAACACAGATGAAGAAAAACGCAAGTAAAAACGCAAGTAACTTTTTTTTTTGACAGTGATTATATAATGCATGATGATGATGATGATTATGTAAAGAGAGAAAAGTTAATCAATTTTTCTTTCTGGCTTGCTTTTTTTCTGAAAAATTTAAATTAAATTTTCTGATTTTTTGCCGGTATCCAAATATATGGACCAGAATTATCATGTATAATTAATTTAATTTTTGCATAAATTTCTTCCGGTGTATCACATGAAATGATTGCCAAAAAATATTGACCATATTCTTGTTCAGTACGAATGGTACGTTCAAATTGTCTTCGGGCTTCTTCATCCGTTATACGTTTATCCCATTCTTTAAGTAATTCAATTGAACGTGGTCGTATTAAAATTGTAATTGGCATTAAATTTGCAGTTTGTAAACGTTTTATTGCTGCTGCACTAACATCAAGTATACAATGTTTTTGTTGATCATATGCTAATTCTTTTACGGCTGATATTTTTGTACCATAAAGATTATCACGATATTGTCCAGCTTCAATAAATAAATGTGATTCAATATCATGTTCCATTTCTTCACGTGTCGAAACAAAATAATAATCACGTCCATGTATTTCACCTTCTTTTGGTAATCTTGTTGTATGTGGTACACAAGAACCAAAACGATCCGGATATTCCGATATTAGATCATCATTTATACGTTCTTTTAATGGTCCAAGTATAATAACCGGACGCATATAATCAATTTCAGTTTGTATAACAGCTTCATAGCTTAATATATTACCACCATTACCATTATCAGATTGTTGTTGTTGTTGTTGTTGACGATCTTCACGTATATCTTCTAATGCTGAATTTGAACCAGATATTGAATTACGATCATTATTATTATGATTATAATTTTTGATTGATGAATGTTCATCACCACCTTGTTCACTAAGATGATCATAACTACCAGAAATATCTTCAGTTGATGATTCTCTTGATTTCATAAATGGAAATTTTCTTGAAAATGAAAAATTCTTTTTCTTTCGATCCAATGTTGTTGATGATGATCGACCATCCGAATAATGATCTGAACCATGAAATTTAACCGATTTTAATCGTGCACGTTCACGTCTTTCAACACGACGTTTTGATGGTATAATACCAAGCAGTATATCATCAGTACCATCAAGTAATACACGCCGAGCTTGCCACCATTCATCATCCGATGCATTTGTTACATGCAATATATCACCAAATCTGAATGGAAGGCCACGTGATGGTAGACCAGAATCACGTATTGGTTCATAATCGAATAAAGCTCTTACATAAAGTGTACGTTTCTGTGATGTACGTAATGTACCAGTTGAAACACCTGATAATGGTAATGAACTTGTTGCTTGTAAATGTTGTTCTCTAAGATCTTGAATTCTAGCTTCAAATCGTCGATATTCTTCTGGTCGATAAGCAACCAAAAGATTAACTGTTTGACCGGCACCTTTTAATGTTGCAGCAGCTTCTTCATGTGTAGCACGTCTTAAATCAATACCATTAACAGCTAATATTTGATCACCACGATATAATTGTCCACTTAAATCAGCCGGTCCACCAGCCAATATAAATGAAACAAATATTCCTTGACCATCTTCACCGCCTACAATATTAAAACCAAGTCCAGTTGATTGACCTTTCGAAAGAATTAAACGACGTGGTTCACGATCAACATCTGTTCGATCTAATTCATCCAAATCTTCTGCAAGAATATTTGTATTGGCTAAATTTGTTGAACCACTTGCTGTTCGTGTACGTCGTTGTTGATGATTATTATTATTATTATAAAGATTATCTTCACTTCTAAATGATTGCACTGGATTAATTTGTCCGGTATTTGCTGTTGTTGATGATAATGAATGAATTGAATTTCTTGTCGGCATTATAGTACGTTGATTATTATTATTATTATTAAATGTATGATGATGATGATTGTTAATATTTGTTGATGTTAATGATGTTTGTGATGGTTGTGTCAAATTATTTGTTGTTGTTGACATTAAATTATTGTCCATTTGATTCATTGAATAAGTTGATAAATGTTGTTGTTGTTGAGGTTTACGTACGGTTAATATCACATGATCAGAAGTTGATTTCAATACAGCTACAGCATCTTCATGTGTAACATTTTCTAAATAATTATCATTTACAGCAACTAAACGATCACCACATTCTAAACGGCCATCTAATGCAGCAGCACCTTTATCCATAATTTTTGTTACATAAATATTATTATCTCCCGGTATATGTTCATTACCAACACCACCGGCAATTGAAAAACCTAATCCTTTTGATGTTGCTTTAAATAATTCAATACGTACTAAATCCGACATATTTAATTGATTAACCGATGATAATGATGTTGTGTTTGATTGATTTTGTATATTAGCCGGTGCAGATGCTGATGGTGGTATCATTGATTGTTGTTGTTGTTGCTGTTGTTGTGACTGTTGAAATTGTGTTTGAATAATTGATGGTATTGTTGGTGTTTGTGGTGTTAGTTTACGACGTTTAACCAATAATTGTACACGATTACCAGCACGTTGTAATGCATTTACAGCTATTTGATGTGCTACATCAATCAATGATGTTTCGTTTACCTATTTTCCAAACAAAAATGGAAAAATATAACATTTAAAACAAATAAAATTTAAAATATACCTTCAAAATAATATCTTCAATCTGTAATCGACCATCAGCAGCTGCTGAACCACCTGGTATTAATTTTGTTATATAAATTGAACAATCATCAGCAATATGTGGATTATCAATACCACCGGCAATTGAAAAACCAAGACCTTGATTACCACGTTCTAATGTAATCTCTTCATATTCCCATTGATTTTGATTCCCACTTATTCCTCCTCCTGTATTCATTATTAAATTTTCAATATTATTTTCAATTTGTTGTTGTTGCTTTTGATCCAATTCTTCTTGATCTTGGTCTTCTTCTTCGTCGTCGTCTTCAAGATGTACCTGTTCAATTTGTACAATTTCACGATGATTATTATTTATTCCGTTTGTAATGAATGAATGTTTTTGATTATTATTATTATTATTATTGGTGGGTAAAATACAAGATTGTTGTTGTTGTTGATATGATTCTAAATTTGAATTATCTAATTGGGAATGATTTTTTATCGATTGATTTGTATTGTTTGTTGTTGTTGTAGAAACTACAACTGGTCTTGCTAATGATGATGATGATGTTAGTTTATCGATTCTTTCCAATGGATTCAATGTTGATAAAGGTTTTGATTGTTCTTTTTGTCGATTCTGTTGTTGTTGTTGCGATTGTTGTTGTTGTTGATCTTGTTCTTTTTGTTGTTGATGTTTTAATACAGCACCAAGTATTTCATTTAAACGACCAGATAATAAATCTTGTACATCAGATGCTAATATTGGTTGATTATTTATATCATTATTTTGTTGTTTATCATTATTTAAATACTGTTGTTGTTGTTGATTTGGATGATTATGATTCGAATGATTATTATAACCACCGTTTGTTGATATATTTGCTGGATAATGATGGTGATTTGTTGATAATGTATATGAATTTGATGTTAAATCAGAATTTGTTGTATCATATGTTGTTGATGATGATGATGATAATGTTGTTGTATTGTTGATAGCCGTTGATCTTTGTTGTTGTTGTTCTTTATATTGCCAATCTCTTAATGTTTCTCTTGTTTTTGTTTCAATTGTTTTTTGATCGTCTTTTAATGTTACTTCATAAAATTCTTGTATATCTAATAATGCTTGAAATAATTTTGAACGAAATATTTTTATAATACGTTCGATTGCTTGACGTAGTTCTTCTTGTTGTTTGATTGTTGTTGTTGTTGATGAATTTTGTTGTTGTTGTTGATATTGTTGTTGTTGTTGTTGTTGTAAACGACGATGATAATCTTCGAGGAGCTCCAACGCTCGATGTGCCTCCTCGCGACGAATACGCATCACTGTCCACAAAAAGAAAAATCGAATGATTGATAAGATGAAAATGGAGATCGAATATTTTTGTTTTTGGTCGTTATTTAATAGCCGAAAGTGATCTTAATTCCGAAAAAAATTTGATCCAGGTGAATATAGGAAGAGATTATCGTTCTTGTGTGTGTGTATTGTAGGCGAAAAGCGAAAAAAACTGAAAATTGATCAGCAAAATTCAGCTTTCGCAAATAACAAATGAAGAAATATGATGACAATATAAATCGTTGGTGTTAACTGAAGATATTTTTCTCTCTCTCTCCTTGTCAACAAAATACGATACGATGATGATGACAAATTGAATTTTGTTTGTTTGTTGTTGTAGTTTAGGTGGTGTATGGGGGTGTTTTCATGTATATATAGCAGACAGGAACAACAACAGCTTGATTTATTCTGACAGAAGAAATGAAGCAGTGAAAACAACGACAACAACAGTCATTTATTGCTGAAAATGTTTTTTTTTCCACCAAAAAAAAACAATCGATTAACAACCGATTTATCGATTAATTGATTAAGTGATGATCGATTGATTCGAATGATGATTGAAAATATAAATCTGGAAGAATCTACATTTGTAAAAAAAAATGAATTAAACATTCGAAAATTTTATTAATCCTTTCATTTTTTCTTACTTTTAACTGATAAAAATCTCTTTTTAAAAAACAGAATTTACAAAAAAATTGAAAAACACAAACACAACAACAACAATGAAAAAGTGGATGATTGACAGGAATATTCTCGATTATTTTGTTTTTGGTTAGGTCACTTTTTTTTCGAATCAGAATTTCGGATATAATCAAAAAATAATTGCAAAAAAAAATTGGTTAATTGAAAATTAGAAGAAAACTTTTGAATCATTTAGTGAGAATCGAAAAAAAATTTGATAAAATTAAAAAAAAAAATTCAGCAACGGTGGCCGTGCATATCATTATATCATCATCATCATCACCAACAACAACATCAACACGGGATTGACGGTTGAGTTTACGATATATTCGTAAATGGAAAAATAGAAAATACATAGGTATATATTGTGTGTGTGTATGTTTACTTTTTTCTGTGAAACATACCAAAAATATATGGACATCGATGGATTTTTTTTTCTTTTTCAAAAATGGGATATTCATGGGAAAAACATTGAATTTTTTGTTTTGTTTTGGTCAAATTGATGCAAATGATCCAAACTTTTTTCAAAATTATTGGAGAAGGTGATTATAGGGGGCAAAAAGAAAATCATTAACCTGTAGCAAGCGCTACAGACCTTTTATTTTTTTTTTGGATGAAAAACTTGACGTTTCCGGCACTTTTTTTCTGTTGTTGTCCAATCAATTTACCTCAATTGCAGGAATTTCAGGTATTTTTTTTCGAAAAAAAAGTATTATGAGTTTTTCCATTACCAAAATTAGATTATGTCCATATAAATAATGTTTATCATTTTTTTTTTTTTGTTAAAAAAAGTAGTGGTAATTCGGCAAACAAGGGGTGTGTGTTGAAATATTTTTTTTTTTTTTTTGAATCCAAAAATATTTCAACTGAACTACTACTTACCCGAATGGTAGCGGTATTAATAAATGAAGAAAAATTACCTTTTCGTTGGTTGATGAAAAACCGAAATTTTTTTTTTTTTTTTTAACAAAATATTTTCTAAAATGCTACGTTTTTT